TCTTAATTGGAGATAAAGTATAAGTAGTTCATCATTCAAAAAAAAGTATAAGTAGCTCCAAGGATTGATTTAAGATGACATTGAAGGATCCATATGTCTAGAAAATTAAGTTTGAGCATAATTTTGGATATTTAAAATATTTGAGATGCATATTTAAACAGGTTTAGTTTTTTTATATTTAAAATTTACATATTAAGTACGTTATTTCTTTAATGTACTGACAAGAATGTACTATCTATTATTTAACACATTTGTTTAACTAATATAAGGATATGTCTCAAATAAACTAAAAACTACAGTAATATAATGTAAGTTTTTTTTAATTATTTATTTTGTGATGTTGATCATTACTTAAAAAAAACTACATAAAATTGTAAATATAGGGGTCTTTTAATGAAGTTCCACTCAGGCTCTCATTTAGGTATTAGGTAGGATCGTCAATGCCTCAAGGCTCATCCTTTTCATCAAAATTATTTTCACTTTCCCTTTTTGGTAAACAATTTGTGATCCACAACATTTTCTACACGTTTTTACATATTTCTTTCTCTTCTGCACAACTCTCTACCCTACAATACTCACTAATTTTAATCCTCGTGCCAAATTTACTTTGGAAGATAATTTAGAGACAAAGGGAGTAATAAATTTGTGCGGTTTTCCTTGTTCCTCTCTTTTCTACACAAATTCCAATCATACAATTTATAAGACAATAGTTCGTATACGATTAGTATAAAACGTATCACCAAGATAGTTAGTTTGTACCAACATTTCTTCGTGGATACCTTGTCTTGAACAACCAAAGGTATTTGGGGTTGGAGATTCAAATTATAAAATTAAGTAGGTAAAACCAAAATTTCAATGAGAGAATACGTATAATTGTCGCAATTTTGTAAATGTCATCACTTATTGCAAATTAGCTTATTTTCTTCATCTTTTACAATGAGAGAAGAAGTATGTGCACCGTTTAAAGAGCTATATGTTTGATAAACTGATGTGATCTTCTACATGTAAAGTATATTTAGGGCCTATTCACTACAAAAAAAACAGCGTTATAGTCACGGATTTTAGTCACGGATTTGGTCCGTGACTAGTTTAGTCACGGACTAGTCACGGAAATTTTAAAAAAAAATAGTCACGGTCAAGACCGTGACTATGGCCGTGACTACAATTAGTCACGGTCTTGGCCCGTGACTTAAGTCCTCCGATAGGCCCGTTTCCGTTTCCGGCGAAGTTTATTTGATTCCGACGACTTAGTCACGGCCACATCCGTGACTATAGCCGTGACTATGATTAAAATTTAATTTTTCACCTTCCTTAACTTAATGCAACTTAATGCGCAACGGTATTATGTACGGATAACTTTAGTCACGGCCATATCCGTGACTATTTCCGTGACTACTATGATTAACACGTCATTTACACGTCATTAACACGTGTTGGACGCGTATTGGACACGGTTTTGCTTAGTGACGGACAAATCTGTGACTAAGACCGTGACTAAATTTTTTATATATGCAGGAGCAGCTCATTGAACAGAACCACACCAATTCATTCCCAGTATATACAGTATCCGTTTGAAAGATCGAAGGATGTAGTCTATCTTCTATCATTTTCCCTGTTTATGCAGATAAGGTATGTTATTTGAATTATAATTTTTATTTAGAATTAGTTGGTTCAATTTAAATTATTAAAACTATTAAATTAGTGAGGTTGTTAATTAATTAACAACATGTTTTAACTATAAGCGTAGTAATGTCATAAATTAGAATTAGTTAAACTTTTAGGTTTATAAAATAATTTAATTAAAATTAGTTAGCTAAATGTAGTTTAAAACGTAATGATGTTTATGTTAAGTGAAATTAGTTCAAATAACGTACGTTAGTAATGTGTTAATTAAGTGAATTGTGAATTGTTATTGTGAATTGTGTATTGCTTATTAATTCAAATGACTTTATATACATGTTCAAATTATTGGGTTGAATTTGGTCATATTATTTAATTTAGTGAATTGTTAATTGTACGTGTATTACTAATAAGATTAAATGTCATTAACGTAATAATTTAGTGTAGGTTTAAACGTAGGTTTACAAAAATAATTTAATTAAAATTCGTTTGCTAAACGTAGGTTTGAACGTAGCTATTGATGTGTTAATTAAGTTAAATTAGGTAGCTAAACGTAGGTTTAAACGTAGTGATGCATTAAAAGGGGACGGAATGAACTAGTTAAATTTAGTTAAATTTAACTAAATGAATTAGTTAGATTTAATTAAACGTATGTTTAATTTAGTGAAATTATCTGCATTATTCTGCATTAGGGGACGTATATTTTGTGCATTATTGTTGTGAATTGTGTGCATTTTATTTAATTTAGTGAAAATTAGTTGATTATATTTAGTGAAATAAATTACTTAAAATTGTGTGCATTGCATTTCATATAATTTTTTATTATAATATTCAGGCATAATGTATAAACAAAATAGAAGTTGGATGTATGATAAAGATGCGGTATTGTACGGAATGCAATCAAATTTTCTCGAGGGAGTCGGGGAATTTATTGAATTTGCACTTGAACATCCGGCTTATATGAGTGGTGATAAAATAAGATGTCCATGTTCAAAGTGTAAAAATCTCAAATTTAAAGACCCACACGAAGTTGGGTATGATTTGTACGCGGTCGGTTTTGTTCCCAATTATTATAATTGGACTTCTCACGGCGAACCTTTGGATCCATCTGTTATACCACAAACGGTAGGTTCGTCTCGTTACGTCCCTCCAGAGATGAGTGCGTGGGGAGACCGTGCTGAAATGAGGTGGGACCAACAAATGGTATATGACGCATACGGTGTACCGTCTCAGTTCAACCCCCCACAACCACCTAACGACCCCCCTGAAGCCTCAACCTCGTATCAACCAGATGCGGATGAAAATCCGACATTTTATCAACCTTATGTGGATGAAGGTTTGGCTGAGAGATTTCAGGATGTTCTAAAAGCTGTCGACCAACCTCTGTATGCTGATTGTGAGGGATACTCTCAGCTATCCGCTGTTACTGAGTTCATGAACATAAAAGCCGAATACAGTCTCCCTGAAACTTGCATGAATAGAGTCTTGCAGTCAGTAGGAGGGATGCTACCGCGAGATCATACCCTTCCGGATTCATATTACCACATGAAGCAGTTAATGTCTAAGTTGGGGCTACCTTGTGTTGAAATTGATGCGTGCCCGGAAGGATGTATGTTGTTCTGGAAGGAGGATGAGGCACTTGAGTTCTGCAAGTTCTGTGGTGGAGACAGATACAAACCTGTTCGTCAAGGTAAAAAGAAACCACGACATAGGTCTGCACTGTCTAAACTGTATTACCTCCCAATTGCTCCTCGACTGCAAAGGATGTACGCTTCGACTGCTACTGCGAAACACATGACATGGCATGTTGAGCACGAAACCAACGAGGGTATGATGGCTCACCCTTCGGACTGTGAAGCCTGGAGACACTTTGACCGCTGTCATCCTCAGTTTGCTATGGAGCCACGAAATGTGCGGCTGGGATTGTGCTCAGATGGATTTGCTCCTTTTGGCAGGTTCGGCAAGAACTATTCATGTTGGCCGGTCATGTTAACACCTTACAATCTCCCTCCCGACATGTGCATGAAAAGTCATTTCATCTTTTTGTCTTTAATTTGTCCGGGTTCCAAGGATCCTGGGCGAAAGATAGACATTTATCTTCAACCCCTTATTGAGGAGATGAAAGAATTGTGGGCCGTTGGGACACCAACTTATGATGTTTCATCAGATAAAATGTTTATCATGAAAGCTGCCATCATTTGGACCATTAGCGACTTCCCTGCCTATGGCATGCTTTCGGGATGGAGCACACACGGTCTGATGGGATGTCTGATATGCATGGAGAAATCAGGTGCCAACTGGCTCAGTTACAGCAAAAAAGGAAGTTACTTTGATTGTCACCGCAAGTTTCTCCCGGAAAGGCACCGATATCGAAAGGACAAGAAGTCTTTCATTAGAGGCAGAGCGGTACGAGAGAGCCCACCCCCGAGATTGACCGGTGAAGAAATTTATAACCGGGTTCGACGTTTTCCTACGGCTATGGAAGAGCCAAACCAAGAGCCATATGGGTATTGTGATACCCATAAGTGGACAAAGAGGAGCATATTCTGGGAGTTGCCTTATTGGAGTTCCAAAAGCAGTCTACCAGGTCACAGAACCACAAAAGGCAGCAATATTAAAATGGCTTGCGTCTCAGAAGTTTCCAGATGGCTACTGCTCCAACTTGTCTAGATGCGTAGACATGAACAAACTTACCACGACGGCGAGCATGAAAACTCACGATGCTCATGTAATAATGCAAAGACTTCTACCAATTGCACTAAAAGAGATGCTCCCTGAACACGTATGGTCCTGCATTACTGAAATCAGTTTGTTGTTTCAATCGATATGTTCCAGCGTTTTGGATGCGGCATCCCTCTGGAGACTACAAGAGTCTGTTCCCATTCTGATGTGTAATCTGGAAAAAATAATGCCACCATCGTTTTTCGATACAATGGAACATCTCATAATACATCTTCCGTATGAGGCTTTGACTGCTGGGCCCGTCTTCTATCGGTGGATGTAGAGATTTGAAAGGTTAGTCACAATTTCATTTAAAAAAAAATATTTATTTCACAATAACTGTTAACATGTGTATTATTGCATTATTGCAGATTTCTAGGAGAGCTGAAAAAGAAAGTGACCAACAAGGCACACGTTGAGGCTTCAATTTGTCAAGCGTATCTTCAACAAGAAATCTCAACGTTCTCGTCTTTTTACTTCGAGCGTGACGTCATCACCAGAAGGAAAAGACCTGCCCGGAACGATGACATTGGCGAGGATTTATATGAAAATGTAGTTTCCATCTTCAATTACCCAGGCAGAGGTAAAGGTGCTGCGACACAACGATACATCCTGGGTGGGGAATTGCAAATTGCGCATACTTATATCCTCATGAATTGTCCAGAAATCTCACCATTTTATCAGTAAGTTAAATTTGTAGTTATAATTGTAATACTTATAAATTAAATTTGTAGTTAATTTATAGTTTTTTTTTTACTTCACAGTGAATTCCGAGCTTCTTTATCAGCCTTTCCTGAGAATGAAATTGATGCGTTGGTGGACTCTGATTTTGTAAATTGGTACAAGTATCAGGTATATATATACACACATTAATTATATATATTACCTAATGTTTACCTAATGTTATTATTATGTTTATATTTACAGATCAATAGTCGTGGGATTGTCGACCCTTTGTTAGTATCATTAGCGTGGGGCCCAGGTGCCAGTGCCAAAGTGTGGCGGCAATATGTGATAAACGGTTACACATATCACACAGCCGATTACGGAGAGGGCCGACCAACAACGAACAGCGGGTTATGTGTCCCGACCATCGGTTATGATAACTCGGAAACCAATTTTTTTGGTGTCCTGCAGGAGATTCTGGAACTTGAGATGCCTTCTGGTGCGAAAAAATTCACATGTGTTCTGTTCCGTTGCACATGGGTCGACCCCACACGTGGCGTGCGCAAAAAATCCGAAGTATAATATGATTGACGTCAACCTCTCTCGTGTGTACCCGAAAAATGAGCCTTTCATACTCGCCCAACAAGCAGCGCAGATTTATTATGCAGAATATCCTTCAACAAGGCGGACACAGAATCCTTGGGTGTGTGCATGTCCTGTCCGTCCGAACAAAATAAAATCACAAACTCAACACAAGGACGTTGATCTAGATGCTTTTCAGCAACAATTTTTCCAACCTCCGCCTATTGTTGAGACGGTCAACTATAACGTCCAATTAAGTGATCCAAATGGCGGACGTGTTGAAGTCATGCCAGAAACGCACCTTCCGGACCTAACCATTCCATCTGAGCGCGAAATTGAGGAAATGTATGTAGCACAACAAAATGCTCAATATCAGGAAGAAGGTGAATGGATAGACGGTTCAGATACAGAAGAAGACACTATATATGTAGAAAATAACGATTCTGACAGCGAGTAATTGTGCTGTTGTAATTTCAATTTTATTGACATCTAATATTTGTGCTCTTTTCTTCATCATTATATTATTCCAACAATATTTGATTTTTTTTCTTCTTCATTATTATTTATGAACTAAAAATTACTCCATATTAATTCAACAACAACAAGTTTCCAAAACTTTAAAAATTCAAAACAAAAAATATTTATTTTAAATTCAAAAAATTCGAAAATTCAAAAATTAATTGAGACGGTCAACTATAACATCCAATTAAGTGATCCAATTGACGGACGTGTTTAAGTCATGCCAGAAACACACCTTTCAGAAACACTCAATATCACAAAGAAGGTGAATAGATAGACGGTTCAGATACATATTGAAACCAGATAAATTGATAGCAGTTTATTTTATACTTCACATTCCACACTACAAATTTCCACAATATTCCATATTATAAATTCGAAAATTAATCCAATAATTTAAATACTTCGGAAATCCAAAATTATAAAGAAAATTAAAGTCACGGTCATAGTCACGGTCAGGGCCGTGACTAAACCCTTCGTAACTGCCGAAGTCAGGCCGCTGCAGGCCTGACGGTCAGAACCGTAGCTGACCGGAATAGTCACGGTCAGGTCCGTGACTATGGCCGTGACTATTTTCAAAATTTGAAAATAGTCACGGCCATAGTCACGGTCCTGACCGTGACTATTCCGGTCAGCTGCGGCTCTGACCGTCAGGCCTGCAGCGGCATTTACGAAGGGTTTAGTCACGGTCAAAACCGTGACTATGACCGTGACTAATACATTATATAAAATAGCCCCTTAGCGAATTTTTTAAAAACCTACGCACCCCATATTTCCCAAACCCAATACTACCTCTTCCTTCTCTCTTCCTTCTCTTCCAGTTCGGATTAAGCCGCCGCCTAGCCGTCCGCCGTCGTCCACAATCAGCCGGCCGCCGTCGTCCGCCACCTTCCGTCGCCCCCCCTTCTTTTCTCAATCAAGGTTATGTGTTCTTTTCATCTTTTTTTCTAATATTTAATTAAAATTCCAAAAACGCATGATACTATACTCAAACGCATGATACTATACTCAAATGCATGATAAGGTACATGATTGTTAGTTTCATATCATTTTGAGATGTTCAAAAGTTGTATGTATGATTTATTATATGCATGATTTGTAGTTTTGCATGATAATTTCGTTTTATATGTTTAATATGCATGATTCATATGTTTTGTATGCATGATAATTATGTTTAGATGATTTAGATTATTATATGTTTAATATATTCTTATGCATGATTAAACTACTTAATACACTGTTTTTCGAACTAATGCATGTTTATAGAATTAGTTTAATGTTAAATATATATGTCTAGTGTTTGATATGCATGCCTCTCTATAGTTATACAATGTTTATGCTTTTCATGTTTTAACTCGAAATATTTAAAAAAATTGCCCCCTCATGTTAAGCTTTCACAAGCTTAACATGTTTAATTATTATTTTACAAATTTTAAAATAAACATAAAAAAGTATACTGTTTTTTATAAGCACTTTTTATAAGTACAAAAAGTAATAATTGAAAACACTGTTTTTGTAATTATTGAAACAGTTCATTAAAAAAAACTGATTTTAATTGAAAACACTTTTTATAAGTATGAAACAGTTCATTAATAAAAAACTGTTTTTAATAAACTGGATAAACCATATTTTTTCGAAATTGATTTTTTATAAAAAGTATAAAAACTGATTTTTATAAAACAGTTTTCATAGCAAAAATGGTAAAGTGCTTTTTTTAAAAAGCAGTTTTATAAAAACAGTTTTATAGAAACTGTATTTGTAAAAACAGATTTTGGTTTACAGTTTTATAAACTGTTTTAAATAAACTGTTTTTGTAAAAACAGATTTGTAAAAACTGATTTTATAATTATTTAAAAAAGAACAAACCAGTTTTTTTAAATCTGAATATAAGCAGTTTAAAAAAAACTGTTTTGACAAAAACTGGATATTAAAAACTAATTATTATACAGATTTTTGTAAAAAACAGTTTTTTGTGTAAAAACTGATTAATTAACATATTTGTTAAAAACTGTTCAATAGAAAAAAGTGTTAAATAAACAGTTTTTATAAAAACTGTTTAATAAATAAAACAGTTTATAGAAAACAGTTTTTATAAAAACTGTTTTTATAAAAACTGTTTTATATAAAAACAGATTTTGTAAAAACTGTTTTTATAAAAACTGTTTTAAATGAAAATTTGGTTTACTTAAAAACTGTTTTGACAAAAAACTGTTTTATATAATCTGTTTTTGTAATTTAATTAAAAAGGTATAAACTCAAAGTATACTGTTTTTCTACAAAACAGTTTTTATAAAAACTGTTTTTTATTTAAAAAGTACATAAATAACTTTTTGTATAAACTGTTTTTGAAAAAAAAGTATACTGTTTTTATAATTTTGTAAAACTGTTTATAAAAATTGTATAAAACTTATGTATCTAAAACAAAAAAAAAGATGGCCTCTCATGTAAACTTTGCAAAAAGTTTAACATGTTACTTACAATTGTAAATGTGTATAAACTGATAAAAAGATGGCCTCTCATATAAACTGATATATCTAAAACATAAAAAAATGATCTCCTCTCATGTAAACTTTGCAAAAAGTTTAACATGTTACCTCCAAGGGCAATTTATTACCAAATTATAGAAGAACTTATTATGAAAAAATATGGATCCCTCATATTAAACTAATAGATAGTTTAATATGCTATCCACATTTTCAATTGATAATACTTGTATAAATTTTTATAGTGAAAAATAATAAATATACCCCAAACTTTGAAAGGGTGTGAGATAAGCACCCCAAACTTGCATAAATAATTTAAACACTCCAAACTTTATATAAAGTTTGGGATATTTAAATTACATATGTAAGTTTGTGGTGCTCTTGTCACATCCCTTCAAAGTTTGGGGTATTTTTATTATTTTTCCCTGTATAAATTTAATAAACTGTGTATAAGTTTAATATGAGTGGTTCAATAATTTCTAATAAACTCATCCTATAATTTATCAATGAGTTGACCCAGTCGATCGAAGAATCGATCAGTTGGAGCTTGTCAATGAGTTGACCTAGTCAATTCTTAGATAAGCTCCAATCTGTCGATTCTTCTGGCTACGGCTTGAGTCATCGATGGACTCTCCCAAACGCATGTACTGACATTATGTCGCTACATGTGATGTAGCCCATCCATGGTTCAAGGCGTAGCCTGAAGAATCGTCAGGATGGAGTTTATCAATGAATCGACTGGGTCAACTCATTGATGAGCTCCAACCGGTTGATTCTTCGGTCGACTGTGTCAACTCATTAATAATTATAGGATTTGTTTATTAGCAACTATTGGAACCTCATATTAAACTTATACCCAGTTAAATATGTTATATACATTGACAATTGACAATACTTACATAATTTAATATATTTTGATCTTCTATTATAAGCGTTCTAACAAAAAACAAAATAAATTAATATATTTTAGATGAGCAACGAACAATCGACCTCGGCTCCCCGCCCTAACTATGCGCCCATGTCCGAAGCGGAGCGCAACAACGAAGGAACTGTTTGGGTGACCCCTGCAGAAGTTCTTTTGTAAGTAGTTATGAAGAAACCTTATTTTCAATAATTTTATATAATGTTAAATAATCTAACCAAATCTTATATAAATAAATACTATTAATTTTTTTAAGTGACGAACAAGTGTTCAAAGGCATCAAAAGCATAATCGGAGGACACTTTCTTGGCACTTGGGCCACGTACTCGGATGTTGACCCCAAGGTTCGCGAACTATGGTGGAACCTGTTCAAGGTAAAAATAAATGAATGTTCCCTCCCTGATTGTATTGGCCTAATATATACCTACTGATTAATTAATCCAATTTGTTTTAATAAAGGCTCGCTATCGTTGGACTCACGCAAACGGTGCCGATATTCTTAAAGCCTACAATGCTAGGATTTCGACTTGGCTTCGCGCCACTTTTAAACGTGCGCGAAAAAGTTCGAAAAAGCCTAAATGGGTTTCGAATGAAGTGTGGTCCAACCTTTGTCGCCACTGGTCTTCTGATCCGAAATTCTTGGCCAGAAGTGAATCCGGTAAGAAAAACCGGATGTCCGAGAAGGCCTTGGAGATGCAGTGGCACGGGGGCCGCAAATCTCAGAATGCCCATAAAGAAACTCTTGTAAGTGCTATTCAAAAAACCTTACACCATCACAATCCTTCATTATAAAAAATTTACTTAAGTCTTTTTCAAACCATTTAGGCTGGTCCTGAGAAGAAGAGGGTTGGTGTTCTCCGGCTCGTCAAGCATTGCTGGACGAAGCACGGCGAGGAATCTGAAGCCGATCTGCCACCCCCGCCTCGCTGACTTCGAAGTATGTAGCATCATATTTTGTTATTTAGTAACATATCAAATCTAAGTATGTAGCATTTCAAAAATATTTTTTGAAAATGCAGACGAAGTACAACGAATCCGTTGAAAGGCAGCGTGCGGCACGAGGCTTGACCCAGGAAGACGACATCGATTCCGATGCGGATGATGAGGCGGCCATTGAGGCGGTCGGGGTTTACAAGGGCCGGGTTCCGTGCTTGGGGGCCGAGGGGCAACAGATTTTGTATGAT